TTGGAATGATCGAAACAATCAGACCAGCGCCAGAACCGAAAGAGGTGGCGGAGTGGCGACCGTCTATAGGAGAAATGGAGTCGGGAGGACCCACCTTCGTCACAGGAGAAATCGATGTGTTAAACATCATCCGAGCCTTGGACCATCGGATTCCACTTCGGATCGGTCACCTACTCTCGATCTCCGAGCAAGCCAATGAACGAATGCTACAACATTGCAAGGCAAATCGAAAACGATTCGCCCTCGCCCGAACACCGAACGTAAAAGCCAAAGGCCTCGCGCCAGAAGAAAACCCAACAGGCACTTCGGATCCGATACAGGTAGGTTTAATTTAGAAAGACGATCATTTCTTACAGATTAAACCAATTCTGTGGAAATCCGCAGAATATGATATTGAAATCTGGGGAATTCCCTACAGCGCCATTATAGATTCGGGAGCAGCTGTATTGGCTATTTCATTGAGAGTGGTCGAAAGGGCAGGTAAGAAAAACGATCTGATCATGCTCACTGAGAAAGATCGGCTCGTTTCGGCAGATGAAGAAAAGATCAAAACTGTGGGAAGAATGACCAACGTCGCTTTTCGGTTGGGAAAAGTGCACGCGCTTGGGGATGTCGTAGTACTAGATGTTAATACATACGACGTTCTTTTCGGACTTCCCGCTCTTGTGGCGTTACGAGCAAACCTGGACTTCGAACGACGATCGATCTTCCTCCAAAATACAGGAGGAAAACCCTACGTTGTACCTATGCGATTGACACTTCGTGCTACCATTAACACGGTCCCACAGGTTTCGCCGATGATGGCAGGGACTCTCCACATGATCTCCTGGGATGAATCCACGAAGGGAAAGTCATCAACGGATGATGCGGAAAGCAGTGACGAAGATGATCCGGAGATCTTGAAATTGGTACGACAACGCATTTACTACCCGCCGCCCAAAACGATAGCGAGAATGATGCAACTGACCAGCGGAAAAATTCAAAGGACCAAGGCGATGATCTTGGGTGAGCCTCTCATGCAGATTTCGAGGATGGTCGACTCTTTGGAAACCCCTCAAACACTGTACGAAGGAATCCCCCCTCTCCTCGCCAGGTACAGCGATAAAAAACATTATTGCGACATTACGGAATTACCCAAGTTTTCATTGACAGCTGCCAAAAAAGTGAGATTGTTACGCTTGGGGGCGGAACCAAGCTCTCTGGAACCCCGTGGACGTTTCGAGGCAGAAACAGACAGACTGGGGATAAAGATCGCAACTAAGAACGTGCCATGGCAGGATGTTTGTGACGGGATTACCCCGGAAGGACACATGGCAATCCGGAAAGAAGATGCCCAGATGATGGCCACGGTGTTCGCCTGGCGATCGGACCATTCGTTATCTCGGTGCTCCGCCCGACGTGGCAAAACAGATGCGCACGAAACAGCTTGACGTTCGGGTCGGGGATCAAATTTTTGAACTACACGTCCAACAGTACGTACCGGATGAAATCCACTGGGTGATTGCGGACATTCTAACGAAATATCAAGGAACGATTAGTGTAACAGACACTGACATTGGTTTGTCGTTAGTAGTCCAATATGAAATTCAGATAGGAAATCACTCCCGGATTCATTGCAAACCCTACCGGTATTCCTTGATTGAACGCAAAAAGGCTCTCGAACGAATTCGGGAGTTCGAAGCCAGCGGCTGGATTGAACCCGCCACCGGACCTTGGTCCTTTCCCGTAGTGTTAGTACCTAAGAAAAACGGAGCAATTCGTATTTGCATTGATTATCGCAAGCTGAGTGAGATCACGATCAAAGATGTGTATCCCCTCCCCCGGATTGATAATTTGTTGGATGGGAGAAGGTTAATAACAGTCGTATTTTTCATCACCACTTCAGGACACCCTTCACCACTTCAGGATGCAGCCTGCCTAAACAAGTGGTTTTCAGGAGACCTTTCACCACTTCAGGACCATTCAGGTCTGAAAATCGTGAATGGTCCTGAAGTGGTGAAAACTCCGAAGACCCTGGAAACCATCTGTTTAGGCAGGCTGCATCCTCAAGTGGTGAAGGTCGTTTTCATGGTCTTCGGACCTTTCACCACTTCAGGACCATTCAGGATTTTCAGACTGCCCAAAACTCTCACTTGACCACTTCAGGACACCCTTCACCACTTCAGGATGCAGACTGCCTAAATAGGTGGTTTTCAGGGTCTTCGGACCTTTCACCACTTCAGGACCATTCAGGATTTTTAGACTGCCCAAAACTCTCACTTCAGAATTTTTATTCCTGAATTTTCAGCTACCCGATAACCGCTTGTGTGTTGGATGCGATTGGATGCGCTAATTATTTCAGCAAAGTTGATATTCGGCATGGCTTCCATCATATTCTGGTTAAAGAGGAAGATCGGCCTAAGACGGCCTTTGTGTTGTTTGAGGGCTCGTGGCAGTGGGTTCGGTGTCCAATGGGGATTTGCAATGCGCCTGCCACGTTCCAGCGAGCGATGAACATGACGTTCTAGAATTTCGTCAACAAGACACGACTGACACAAGGGATGATTAACTTTTGCGTGATCGTGTACATGGACGATATCCTGGTCTATTCGGAAACCTATCACGGGCATGCGCAACACATTGAATGGACATTGGGCGCGTTGAGAGACGCTGGGTTCAAGATTGCGCTCGAGAAGAGCGAATTTTTCCTTTCGAAAATTTCGTTCTTAGGCTACGTCGTGACACGTGGAGGATTGCGGCCGGACTCGAGAAAAGTTGCGGCGGTGAAAGAAGCCCCGGTTCCCACGTCACTAACCCACGTTTGAGCCTTCTTGGGGTTGGCGTCGTACTACCGACGCTTCATCAAGGGCTTTGCTGCGATTGCACGACCACTAACGAATCTGCTACGGAAGAACCAGCCTCTGAGCTAGGACGCGGAGTGCCAGCAGGCCTTTGCAACCCTTAAGGACGCTCTGGCGAGGGCCCCTGTTTTGATTCAGCCGGACCCCTCGAAACAGTTCATTCTTATTACGGACTGGCAACCGGAAGCTATCTCCGCTATTCTAGCGCAGAAGGGGAACGATGGTCGTGAACACGTCATTGAATACGCATCGCGTACCGTACCGGACGAACGAAGGAATGACTTGGCACCTCAAGGCGAATGCTACGCAGTAGTCTGGGGAATCCAACACTTTCATCCGTATCTTTACGGACAGAAGTTTCGCTTGGTGACGGATCACGAGCCTCTGCTGGCCTTGAAGAAGCTCACCAATTACACTGGCATGATTGGCCGTTGGGCGGTGCGACTGCAAGAATACGACTTCGATATCGTCCATCGAAAGACAGAGCGACACGGGAACGCGGACGAGCTGACACGTCTGCATCGACCTGCCAAGATACCAAAGGGCGAGGAAATTACATCGTGGAAAGAGCCGGACTTGACCAACGAGCCGAAATACGGACAAGTGGCAGTTCTTCCACGTGGCAAGAAGTAAAACGGTGGCGATGGGTGATGGAGGTAACCCCACTACCCCTCTCTCTCCCCCTTCCTCTTCGTCTCTCCTCTCCCTGCCTGACAAATTTTGCTATTTTTGCGAAGCTATTTCCTGCATAGATTCGGTCTCCATGCGACCTAATGGAGAAGGGTATGCGGATTGGATAGATTGCCGACAGTGTGTCGCACGAGCCCATGTCTCGTGCATCCAATACCGAGACGATAGTAAGCCGTGGTTGTGCCCCTTGTGCCGGACCGACAAGATTCCGACCGAGGCTCGCTTTTTGGATGCCACGTCAGAAGGATTGGAAAAGACCCGAAAGTTTAGAAGGGCCGAAATATGGACTCATATTGCCTTAATTGCCACCCTAGTAGGTAACCCCCTCTAGGATTTCACCAGGGAAGATCGGAGGAGGGCCAACGAAAGGGATCGGGATTATCGATGGATAGAAGGTAGACTAGAAAAATGGAAAACGGACGGCAGTGGGATTTGGATGGTGGTACTGCATCCGTTCATGCGGTATGACTGGGTTAAGACAGCCCACGAGGAAACTGCCGCCTATTTTGCCGTACGAATCACAGAGTCCGCTATCGACAAAAATGAGTGGTATTGGTCCAATATCCGCGACGATGTGAAATACATCGTCGCCAACTGTCAGGTCTGCGCCGCAGATAAAGCGCCGATTCAGCCACCAAGATCGATAGTGCCCACGGTTGTTGAACGGTCATTTCAAAGAGTGAGTATGGACACTACCGACATAGTGGTGCCCCCTGACCCTAATAGTTGCGAATATTCAGTCTTATTGGTATTTGTCGACCATTTCTCGAAATGGATCGAGGCGTACCCTTGTCGCATGCGGCAAGCCACGGAAATCGCGCGATATGTCAACCGTTTCCTCGGGATGCATCAGGATACGGAAGAGATCCTTACTGACAACGGGGCTGAATTAAGGGGAGAAGTGCTAAGGAATCTGGTCCTACATGGCGTCGCCATATGGAACACCGCACCCCACATGTCACAATCTAATGGGCTAGTCGAAAACGCTAATTGGGTGATAAAGACAGCATTGTGGCGAAATATCGCAGCACGGGATCAGAGGCCCTGGCCCGATATCGTCGATCACATCCTGGCGGTCCACCGCGGAACGCCCCACGAATCGACGGGGCTAAGCCCCTTCCAATTAAGGACTAATAGCGTCGCTTGCGTTTCGATACCAAGCCTCCTAGATGAGTCTACATTGAACCAACGGCCCACCAGGGCCACGGCTCGGGACAAGGGCAAACGACACCTAGAGTTAATGGAACAGTCACTGCCCAGGCTAGCCCGAAAACGACAAGAAATGACCGAACCAGCCCAAGGCCGACAGGTCCGAAGCTACGAGGCCCGAAATGGGAATGCGGGTCCGCGGCCCCGGTACAAATTGGTGGACGTGGTGCAAGTAAGGAAATGTGCTCGCCAGGGTAAGCTAGCGCCACGATTCTTCGGGCGATATCGCGTGATCGAACTCGGCCCTAACGGCGTGGACACCGTGCGTCCCGCCCCCGAGGTCTCTGGCAGTCGATCAGCTCGTCCGATCACACGCCACGCGTCCTATCTTCGACTCCTCCCCTTTGCTCCGTCTCTTTTTCCCTCGGTCTCTCTTTCTGAGGAAGCCGACGACGACGACTTTGACTCTCCGCCATCTCCCTCTTCTTCTTGCTCCCTCTCTGCCACCCCGTCACCACCGCCATCGCCATGAGCTTCGCCATCGAGCGAGCTTTCAGTAATCAGTTGTTGATGCCACGGGGAGAGATCTCAGCCATCGGCCCTGTGCATCATCCGCGGATCAGCCCCGCCTTCGTGCGCCTTGCACAGTTTTTTTGCACTGCGGGTGTGTACGGCGCGGCAGAGTTCCGGTTCACAAGCGATTCCCAGGTGGTGGTTCTGGCCGAGGCAACGACGTTCCAACTACGAGCGGCCCCAGGAATTAGCCACGTGTCTGTCGTGGTAGTCTTCAGCAGCGACATTACCGCCTTCGATTCGGCACGACAAGCCGCCATCAAAAGCACCTTGTACCAGTGGGGTCGTGATCTGGCCACTGATTGGGATCGACGGCTCACAAGGCACGGTGACGAGTGCTATCATGTCGACGACATCGAGGTCAACGTGCTGCGCACGACGCTGCGTGAGCCACCTGTCGTCTTCCCGGAACTTGCTCCCTTCCAACCGCGCAGATGAGCCGCGCACCGATCTCGACGTTTTCGCCTGCCTCTCTCTTCCTCATCTTCTGGCAGTCCTCTCACTACCCTCCTCTCTCCTTCCGCCTGGAGTCGCTAAACCGTACCCATCGTTGATCCGGATCGTTGGAGGCAGTGGCGTGCGCAGTTCGTTGAGCTCTCGTTCTGCCTACTACGAGTGGATCTGAACTGGACGTGGGAAGGCGATAGGAGGCCTGCGTCAGAAACTATGGAGCTTCTCATCATTCAGGTGTGGAGGACCAACGTGGCAGGAGACCTTCTGGGATTCATCTTTGGAGCAGTGGATCGGGGAAACCGATCACAGATAGTGCGCGAACTTACGATCGTGATCGCGCGACTAGCCGACGAACTCCCCCTTGATATCGTCTCTCAGAGCGACGAAGAGCCCGTGCCACATACCCTCTCAAGGACTCTCGCCCCGAGTCTCCAGTGGTCGGCTTGTATCGAGGAGCGCTTGGCAGACGACCGTTTTCCATTTCGAAGCGAGAACCTGGACGTCCACAGCCTAACTAACCCCCGCTTCTTTCGGCAACCAACGGCGTTCGAGTGGGCGGCGCTGAGAGGGGAGGAGGAAGCAGAAAAGGAATCGGAAGGAGAATTAAGGAGAGAGGTCGGGGAAGCAGCGGCCCGGTTGGCCGAGGACGATGAAGAAGAACGCGAAGCAGAAGAAGATTCGGCGGAAGCTGAAAAAGAAGAAGAAAAAGAAGAAGCAGAGGAGGAGACTTTGGAAGAAGAGGAGGAAGCCTATAGTGAGCAGAGTGAGGGCGAGCCAAGTGAAGAGGAGGTCGAAGACGACGACAAAGAACTGGAAAGCGGAGACGACCAGGAGCCAACGCACGACGACGAGCACGAGTGGGTGCCAGGACCGGATCGACGGGAGGAGAACCCTAAGGCTGCCGTGCAGCACAAGAAAGAGGTCGCGGAGGGAAAGCGGCCGGCAATCGACTCTAGACCGAATGATCCTTCCAAGGATCCCGAGCCGCCCAAGCCGGAACATGGGAACCTTGCTGCCATGACCTCGAGCGCCGCGACGACAAGGCGCCGACCTCGATTCCGATCCACGTCCCCCTCCACCTCCGCCCGTCCCCCAATTATTCAACGTGTCAATGAGGGGCTTCGCCCTTCGTCCCCGATCCATATACCACCGTCCCCTTAGCCATCTCTCTTTCAATCAGTTTTTCCATTGCGTCGTCTTCCCCCGTAATCCCTTCCCCATCGCCACCTTCCGACATTTCTACTCCGCCCGCCTAGAGCTGACTGTCCACCCCCACCCTTCTGTTCGGTGCGCTGTCCCCAATTACCCCCTCCACGTTCTACTCCTCAGCGCCGCGTGGCGAGGCCGTAACCACATAGAGGTTTACTGCATCGTTATGGGGACCTTTCCCGCGTGCGAAAACCATGATCGGTTCCGCACAGACGTCCTCCGAACCCTCGTCTCTCTTTACCCTAACTACCTCGCTTCCCTTCCCCGCAGCAGCCAGCGATTCCCCCGCTTCCATCGCATCGTCTGCTTTCAAGATCTTCCCTACGACCTCACCGCGATTGGGCGCTTCATACCTGAGCTTACGATGGAGCCGCCTTGCCCTCCCTCATACGTGTATCGCCTTCCTTTCCCTCTCCCGGTCAATTAATGATGCAGCGGTAATGGACGCGTGTCGCGGCGACGACACGAAAAAGGTCCCGTCCTTGAATCTTCGAAAGCCCAATCTGAGGAACTAGTAGAAGACCAGTGTTGCCACGTTGAATGACGTCCACATGCAATTGAACGGTAAGTGGCATAGACAGAAGTGCTCTGCGTGTCGATCGATTAGCGAAATCGACACGTGTCAACAAGCAAGCAGGAGCTTGCTAATATTGGAACCCCCTAGGCGTCACATATGTGACGAACCACTTTCTGTAACGCGCGATTTTCTTCGCGGTTGCAACGAGGGGTCCTAAGCTGGGAAAATTGGGCCAATTATGGGAGGTCGGGATCAGTGGAAAATTTGCATCAATGTCCTCTCTTTTTCGTCTTTTTCGTCGCTTCTTTTCGAGTGGCAGGGTTCGGAGCTGGGTGTGTCCTAGGATGGCCGGTTGATTGATTGGTCGGCTGGATGAGTGGCGCGTCACTGCGCCCGATTGATAAATGTTGACGTCGTTTCTTTCACTTCGTTTTTGATCTTTTGGGCGCGGACATCGCACGGGAAATTGCTTCGTTCTTTTGAATTTTTTTTATTTTGAGTCTTTTTCGAATTTTGTCGAGCCCCGGTTGCTCTTGGAATTTCGGACTTTCCTTAGGGATTTCGGAATTTAGTAATTAGGATTTTTCCTGCCGCACGGCGCCTTTTGTCTACGCGCCTCTTCATGCGGCTACAACGGTACTCTGATTAGTGGGCGTCCTTAATCGCGTGTGTAACTGTAATTTTGAGCGGGCGCCATTGTAACTGTATCTTTCTTCTTGCACTTCGTTTCTCCGGCCCTCCCCCTCTTTCTTTTTGCTGAAATTTTCGTAGGCTGCGGCTTGCATGCTCGGATCGATGCGTGGAGAAGGGTTACGTCCCCCACACCGTGGCCCGATAATGCAGAACGCAGGGGATCCCTCTCTAATCCTCGCTCTAAGTCCTGGTAATTTCGTGTTCTTCGCGCATGCATGCACGCTATAAATTTTGGCTACGCGATTAGTCAGCTCTCTTAACCCGTCATTGGAAGCTTGGGGGTGCGCGATCAGGAAGGGTCGGCACACGAGCGAAGTGAGAGGTGAGTAGAGCAAGAGTTGGGCGACCCGACGGGCTGGTGCCGAACGCGCGGGATTGACGTGGGCCACGACGGACTGTGGGCACGGGCGAGTCCAACGGGTGCGGGAGGACTAAGCGGGGTGACAACTTCGTGGGTTGGTGCGTGACGACGGACTATCCACATCGGAAAGAGAGAGAGAGAGAAGGAGAGAGTTGAGGTCGATGGACGCGGATTTTCTGTTTCTTTGTCTCTTCCCCCTTTTCATTTGTGTACGTACATTTTGATTGCAGCTCCGGGCGGTTTGCCTTTCTTATTTTCGTTTCGGCTTTCTGGAATCTGGGCTTGGGTTTTTGCTCACACTTGTCCTTGCGATGTCTGTCCCGATTGCATTATGTGTATGATTGCCGAATGTATGGATGTATGGATGTTATGCCTGCTTGTCTATCTTTTTGCTGAGAATCCCTGTCCTTGCTTTTTGTTTGTGTCGAATCTTTGCCTGCATCTGATGCAGCTGTAGATGGGATAAGAATCTGGCCCCGATAGCGATTTTGTTCTCGTTTTTGCTTGTCTCACGATGGGGTTGTGATATGGTTGCATCTTGCATAATCGAAACTTACGAAGCAATTAGACGATCCGAAGCCTGGCCCTGCGAACGCGGCGCGAGAACACATGTAAACGCGATCCGAGTCGCGCCCCTACACGCATTCCTGTGCATCGATTCGCCCACCCAAAAAGATTCGCGGCGGAACCGTCATCTTGTACGAGCACGATGAGGCGCAACTAAGTTCGCCTGTCCTGTACGTGCTCGTGCGCGGTGATGATAACCCGACCAGAGCTATCCCATCTACGATGATACCATGACGCGATCTTGGAGCTCAGACTTATCCTAAGACCCGGATTATTTCACCCCTTGGATAAACGAACTCATAAGGCTGCGATACCCCTGTCACACGGAGAATCGACTATGTCCGCGGGAATTTCACTGCCCCACCTCTAGTGACCCTTGGTGCTCTGATTTCCCTTCCCCCGACCACACCTACTACTTCACCCACCCGGGATTTGTTGTCATCACCACCAGTTTCCCTCCTTTCCGACTTTTTCTCCCGTATCATCAACTCAGCGTTGTTCCGTGGCCGGCCATAGCCCCCTATTGGCCCAGTACGTTTTGTGTGAATTGCCGACGTAGCGGTGAACGGAGAACTCCAGAATTCCAAAGGCCCAATCCAAGTACGCGGCGGCCTCCGCCACGTGGCGGCCCCCGACGGCCTAACTTTTCGGGACCGCCTCCACCGCGGAGGGATTTCCCCGTAAACCGTCGCCCACAGTTCCCCGGTTCCATCGGACCTTGAGTCCCTCGCGCATACGCCCCTTCTTCGTCCAATTGCATTCATATCCTTAAGACTCCCCCACTTCCCCAAAAGTCCTTGGCACACCCCTTTTCACATTTCCAGGCCCACATCCCACTCCGATCAGGAAGTCGCGCTGGGCGTGAGGTTGGGCGTCACATTCCCGTAGCATCTGGAAATGGTGGAGCCAACACTGGGAACATTTTGGAGACACAAGGATAGGATGGGGGGAGCGGTTGGTACTGTTTGGTTTCCTCCCGGAGGGTTTGTATAAGAAACGAGGGTGGGGGTACGTGGCTCAGGTTGTGAGAGGTCTGTTATGTGAGAGCATATGGAAGGACAGGAACAGGGCAAGGTTCGCAGGCAGACCCCTTTCAGACCCAGAGATCAAAGGGGTGGTTAGTCAAGGGCTGAGAGAGGCTATTGGAGGAAAACAGCAAAAGCGGGGAAAGGGAGTCGGAGGCAGATTCGCTGGTTCTTGAATACGTGGACGATCCGCCATTTACTGGCTGGCGTGCACAGGTCGAAGGGCCTGGTCCTTGCCCCTTGGGTAAGAGGGCCCCTGGACGGGGCAGTTACTCAGGGTAACTGAAGCGGTCGAGTACAACCGGGTAGGAACAGTACCGGGAACCAGGCCACTCGGTTCTCCAAAGTAGTAGTAGTTCTCGCCGCAGGAGGCACACAGGGGTCAGTGGGTGGTAGAGTGGCACAGGTACTGAAGGAACGCGAGTTCCAAGCTGCCGAAAGTAGACAGCTTGGCGGGCCGTGAGTAGGCCTGTGTTTTAGGTTCTTTTTTTTTTTTTTTTTTTTTATTAATAAAAACGGGCCCAGTGCCCAAGGCTTATATTTCCAATAAACAACTTTGAGGCCTGTTTTAGGTTCTAGTAATAGGCTGATTGAAGTTTGAATTTATAATATGAAATTGAGAATGTGTTGATTACGTCGAGCATTTTAGAGTATGTCCCATTAGCCTTGGAGTAGCAGACACTGAGTAGAATTGGTCATGTTACACACAATGTCAGTTTACAGAGGAATTGTAGAGAAAATGGATAAGTTTTAGTCGTTAAACACTGCTCGAAGAGAATCTCTCTCAGACCACAACAGTTACTCTAAGCTAAACCGGCTGATGCTGCCGGGATAACTCCGGGTTGAATTGTGAGGTCCCCGGCCTCCTTTGAATGTGTTTCGGAATATAATGACAGTTATAAAAAAAAAAAGAAAAAAAAAAAGAAGAAGTTCGGCGCCAAGTTTCATGATGATGAGAATACAAACGACACATGCATAGTGCAGCGCCACACCACTCACGAAACGACGAAATGCGAGTGCATCTTCCCGCAGAAGGTGGCCAAATACATCGGTACATGGGTTACCTTTCCAGCCATCTTCTGTGGGTAAATGCACTCGCGCTTTTTCTGGTTTCGTGACAGGTATGGCGATGCCCATAGCCTACCGACGTCAGTTGGAAATCTTAACCTTCAGAAGGGCGCTGAGAAAGGATGAGAAGAGAAAGGATTTCCTGCCCGCTTTGACCTCAACCGGGGCCGGCACGTCATCGACTCTGCCCTACAGCGTATTTCGAATTAGGCGAGTTGAAATGAACAGTAGATATAATATACGGAATCCCTCTAGGACTTTCACAGTTCGTGAAAACTGGGCGCCGCTCAAAACCACAGAACACACGAGCTCGAACTCACCCTCCCGAACATCTGCTCCTGCTGCTCTCTCTCTCTCTCTCTCTCTCTCTCTCTCTCTCTCTCTCTCTCTCTCTCTCTCTCGCTCTGCGCGCCGCTCAGCCCCACAGCACTCCAGCCTGAGCTGCGAAACTGACCAACACCGTCATGGACATCTGTTGCTGCTGGTGCTCTTTCTCTCTCTCTCTCTCTCTCTCTCTCTCTCTCTCTCTCTCTCTCTCTCTCTCTCTCTCTCTCTCTCTCTCTCTTCCCCTGCCCACCCAACCCACAGACAGGATTTCCACACTTCAATAAGAACCCAGCGCCGTTCAACACCAGAGAACACCATCCTGAACTCCGAATCTCTCTCTCTCTCTCTCACAC